CCCGAGCTGCAGGGGCGGCACCGCCACTCCCGCTCGACGATGTTGGGGAACGGCCTGAGCCAGCAGCACACCAGCCTTGCGGTCCGAAGGCCGGAGTCGGCAGCGGCGCCGGGAGCCGATCCCGGGCCTCCGGCTCTGAGGTAAAGTGGCAGCCGCGCCTCCCGGGCCTCTCTCCTTTATTTCTCCTCCCTTTCTCTCCCCGCTGCCTCTTCATTTCGCTCTTGAGTCGCGCGGAAGCGGAGCTGGGCCGGGGTGTACTCTAACCCCGGCTTGGGAGACCACCCCCATCCAGCTCCCGCTGGGTTTCTGCTCCACCGCCCGCTGGGAGCGGCGTCCCTACCACCTCCTACCTCCACCTCCGCGCGGCAGTCGCCACCGCCCCAATTCGGCTAGGGGACAGCTTCTGCCTATTCTTGAGGCCTGGGGGCTATGTTCTTGGTGGGGAGGGGAGGTTTCCTGCAAAAATGGCAAGATGAGATGAAGTAGGGTAACTTGAAAGGGCTACGGGATTTTACTCGGTTTTGGAAGAAGCAAGAATGCATAAATCGCTTAACTAAACTTTCAGAACGTTGACGATTTTATAGCAGTTGATCATTTTGAAAGTGATGATTCAAAGGGTCAGCTCTTCTGTGGGTTTTCTGGGAGGGGGGAGTTTCCCCCCACTCATTTTGAATTTTACTAACAAACCAATGGGTGGAGGTATGTGCCATAATTACTGAAATGTGATGTAAAAGAATAGACAGGCTTCCCTAAGCAACTTTTTAAAATATATTCTTTACATGGGTGTGGCCACAGTGTCTAGTAGTTTCTTATTTAGGGATTCTTGGCTCCCTCCCAACCCTCCACACCCCCACCCCCACTCCCCCCCACCCCGCAAACCCCCTACCTCCATACCTTTATGCACTCCATCACTTCCCCCTAGATTTTAATCTTTCATGGTCTCTATTCGGTTTTTTTTGTTGTTGTTGTTGTTGTTGTTGTTGATAGATGGACACAATACCTTTATTTTATTAAGTTATTTTTATGTAGTGCTGAGGATGGAACCCAGTGCCTCATATGTGCTAGGCAAGTGCTCTACCACTGAGCCACAACCCCAGCCCCCATGGTCCCTTCTTTTTGGACTACAAATGTTACTAATTTCCCTGTTGTTGTTTTTTTTTTAAATAGCAGTTGATCATTTTGAAATTGATCATTGTAAGGTAGGAATGTTGATGCAGACAGGTCCTCTCACTGTTGTGAGGGTTAAATGAGATATTCGAAAAAGTCTAAACCAATTTTTCAGTTACCCTAATGTACTGGGTAAGAACTAGCTCTGTCTGGCTTTGTGTATGCCAGCCAATTTCTAGCCATATCACGTTGGAGGTGGTTGCTTCTCCTGCTTCCAGTGCCTGACCTGTAAAATGGGGGTATCATTCACTGCACAGAGATTGTGGTGAACATGCTTGCCACTCACTGAGTAAGTGCCTAGTAAATGATAGGCACTTACTCAGACTTTGAAAGAATAGCTTGAGGACCAGTGCTTTAGATGCCACATAGGCCATTGAGAACCATTTGACACTGGACAGATAGGAAAAGGCTGTTTAAGGTGGAGGTGGCTGAAACAATGTCAGCTGAGGTTCTTCTCACCTCAGCTGAGATAAATGAGAAGAAAGCAGTCAGGTACAAGTTTACTACTTACTTAATAACCACGTTTGTAGGTCTCTTGATGCCATTCATCTGGTCAGTACCCAATGCAGTAAACATGTCAAATCAGAGATCAGTGGGAAATTCTTAGCCCAAAATATAAATCGGTGATCAGGGTTTTTATATTGACTTTCCCATAATTAGACTAAGGTTTCTTTGGACTCTTATTTTTAAGAGAAAGAAAATTCGGGGCTGGGATTATGGCTCAGTGGTAGAGTGCTCACTTAGTTAAAAAAAGAAAGATAGAAAATGGATCTTCAGAACACATAGTTGGGTCTGGCCTCCTGATCAAAGCTGTGGAATAATTTAGTTTTTAGCATTACTAGATGCTGATTATCCTCTGCTTGCTTACGTAAAGGCTTTTGCAAAGGCATTTAAAGGAAAAACGTCCAAAAGCCCCAACATGAGACATAAGAGACATTCTATTCCCAATTAAAATCCATAAAAACCACTATCTTTGGAATCTATTCCTTGCTGTTATTGATCCTAGTTTGTTCTTTGCTCCCCCAATATTCCTTTGCATAGAAGAACAGTCTGTTTCATATTCCAAAATGCATTTTTCTTTATTTGGTCTAACAATTAGTTTTTACTAAAGTTTTATATACATATTAACCATAGCATCATGAACACAAGTAGATGCAGCCTAGCATAAAAATAGAAATATGATTTGTGTGTCTTTCAGTAGGAAAAACAGTTATATACATTTTTTTAAAGAGAGAATTTTTTAAATATCTTTTTTTAAAGAGAGAGAATTTTAATTTTTTTTAAAGAGAGAGAGAAAGAGAATTTTAATATTTATTTATATTGGCGGATACAACAACTTTGTTTGTATGTGGTGCTGAGGATCGAACCCGGGCCGCACGCACGCCAGGCGAGCGCGCTACCGCTTGAGCCACATCCCCAGCCCTAATATTTATTTTTTAGTTTTCATCGGACACAACATATTTATTTGTATGTGATGCTGAAGATCGAACCCAGGCTGCATGCATGCCAGGCGAGAGTGCTACTGCTTGAGCCACATCCCCAGCCCTATACAGTTTTTAATAGGAATTTACTGCTTAGTTTTAAAAGATTATCATTTATTCTGTTGTAACAAACCAATTTCTTAATGTTAATTTAAAATATAATGGGAAAGATGGTTTTTCAAAATAAAGTATTAATCTAGAAATTAAGATTTTTGAGCAAGTGATTTAAATGTTTACTTTCTCCTCTGTAGCATAGAAATATATGGAGAGCATGAAACAAGATAATCTGAGAAAGGATCTAGTCCATGCAAACTAATAGCTGTGCAATATAAAAAAAAATTAGCGGGCTGGGATGTAGCTCAGTGGCAAAGCGTCTGCCTTGCATTCGCAAAGCCCTGGGTTTGACCCCCAGTTCCAAAAAAGACAAAAAAAGAACCCCACAAAAAAAAAAATAAGATTAAAAAAAATTAGCTACCTTAAAAATTTATATAGATATATAAAGCTTAATATAATTGAAAGTTACTTTAGATTTAATCATTGTACAGAATTAAAGGCAACATAGCTTAGAATAGTGGTTATTTTAATTTTCATACAAATCCAAAACATTCCTTGGCCCTGGAATTACTTGTCATATAATTGCAATTCATAGTCAGAAGTTCCTAAAGTCTTCACAGTGGATTTTTCTGATGAGACTTGACTGTTGAAGTTGGCTAACAAGTTGCTGACATCCAGGCAGGCATTCTCTTCTGTAAAGTCGTCTTCATAAGCCCCTACAAGCCAGCCATTTCACTAGGCTTGAAAATGCTGATTCAAAATACACACTTTAACCCTCAAATATACAAGAATGTTACTAGGTAATTCAATATGTGTTAACTTTGTTTTCCTTACAGTTCTCAGACATTCAGAGAAGTGATTACAGAGTATGTTTGCTTTTCATTTTGGGGTTTTTTATGATTTTTTTATTTATTTATTTTCATTACAATTTGAATCTTGGCACCCTTGGAGAGAACTTATTGCCTCGGGACCTTCTCACTGCATCTTCCTCCACCACGTCCGCAGACTTGTCTCTCTCAGTAGAGGATGACAGTGCTCAAAATTATCCCAGTTTCAGAGGTAAATAAACCAGTGATTGCAGAAGTTAAGGTATATATCTTAGAGCACATGACTAAAGAGTGGTGAAACTAGGATTTGAACCGATTTACCTGATTCAAGATATTTTTAGACAAAATATCCGGAGTTTACCACTAAAGAAAAAATAACTCCTGGGCTAGGGCTGTGGCTCAGTGGTAGAGTGCTTGCCTCGCAGTTATGAAGCCCTGGGTTCAATCCTCAGTACCACATAAAAACAAATAAAACAAAATAAAGGTATTGTGTCTATCTACAACTAAAAACATTTTTTAAAAAATAACTATTAATATGAGAAGGAATGATGTGCAACGAAATTGGTAAATAAGTGTTTAAAACTATCATACAGTGTAATATTATTACATAATTTTCCAGGTTAATAAAGTCAAGAAAAATAGAACTAATATCTACACAACAAAGTCATATAATATAGGACATTGAAGTTTTCCAAGCTATTTGTATTAATTAGGTTGAGGGAAAATATGTTAACTTTAATCTTTATTAAAGTAATATTTATTATTTTAAATGTAAAGCTTAATGGGGATATAGCTCAGTTGGTAGAGTGCTTGCACAAGGCCCTAGATTCAACCCCAGAACCATACACACAAAAAAATAAATAAATGTAAAGCTTAAAACATAATAGGGTAATTACTAAAAGAGTACATAATTTTCAAATTAATAGTGAAAGAAAGTAGAATAAAAATAGCAAAAAAATGTACAATATGAAGGTAGAAAAACAAATAGGAATCACAAAATAATAGAATAAAAATAAGTGTAAATAGTTCAGTAATTACAGTAAATATAAACCCTTCAGTGTAAAACAATGTAAAATAGACAAGAAAATAAAATTCAGCTTTATGCTATTTGTGTAACTTTTAAAAATTTTTTTTTGCATTTTTGGGCAATTTGAGAAAGTAAAAGAAATAATACCTAAAGCTTACTGAGGGCAAAACTTCCATCAAATTTGAGAAATACAGAGGTTTTAATGTAACATCATGCATTCACACAGGATCATCTATCAGAGGGTCTCAGCAAATCTCAGGTCTCTCTCCCAAGTGTCTAAGGAAGGTGACTAAGGCAGTCTTAGGTCATCTGGCCCAAAGTGTATTGAATTCACCTCCAATAGCAATAGTAGCTCTGGGGACCATGGTAAGCTGATGCTCAGAAGAGTCTCTGCAGACAGAAGCCTTGAGACTTGGAGGTTGTGCCCAGGTGAGAGGCTGTGGATTTGGGTGTCAGTCAGCCTCCTTCCATAGAGTCTATCCTTCCTGGTGGCAGCCTGTGATTCCAGCCTAGGTTGCAGGACTTCAGTGAAGGATTGGCCCCACCTCAGGATGCTCTGTGCTCTTGGAGAGTGATTATTTTTTGAGGATTCTCAGCCAAGAATTGGTTGGAAAGCAGGCCACAGGACTCTAAGCTGTCCCAGGAGCGCTTACACCGGTGGAGATAGATAGTCAAGGAGTACCCCAGATGCTGTGTCTGCTGAGCTCAAGGCTGGCAGCGTCTGGGGCCTCTGCCTCCTCTACAGAATCATCAGCCTGCCAAACACTACTGGAGAGTGCTGCACCATTGCATTATTCTCACAGCAGGTAACATCAAGAATCTGAGATATATGACATATTTTTAAAAACAAGAACATTGGAGCTGAAGGTTTAGCTCAGTGGTAGAGTGCTTGCTTAGCATGTATAAGGTCCTAGGTTTGATCCTGAGCTCTACAAAAGAAGGAAAACAAAATCCAAGAACCACAAAGAGAATGAAAGGATAGAAAAAGATGTCAAGCTAATATAATAGTATTTGTAGTTATGTTAATATTAGACAAACTAAAAGAAAACAAAAGTTACTAAATTGATGAAAAGTTGAGGACACAGGGCTCTTAGAATTCTAAACATACATATACCAAAATATATGTCTCAAAAAATTAAAAAGCTAAATTTGACAGAACCACAAGGGGAAATTGATAAGTTTACCACTGTAGTAGAAATTTTTAACACACCTTAAAATAACAGATTTTGTAACAAGAATCAGAAAATAGCCGGGCCCAGTGGCATGTACTTATAATCCCAGCAGTTTGGGAGGCTGAGAAAGGAGGATCACAAAGTCAAAAAGCCAGCCTCAGCAACTTATTAAGACCTTAAGCTACTTAACAAGACCTTATCTCAAAAATAAAAAACAAAAAGGGCAGCTGGGTGCCATGGCACACACTTGAAATCCCAGCAACTCAGGAGGATCACAAGTTCAAAGCCAGCCTCAGCAAAAGAAAGGTGCTAAGCAACTCAGTGAGACCCTGATTGTAAATAAAATTCAAAATAGGGCCGGGATGTGGTTCAGTGGCCTATTGCTCCTGAGTTCAATCCCGGTACCCACCCCCCCAAAAAAAGGCTAAGCACCCTTGAGTTTAATCCTCAGTACCCAAAAAAAAAAAAAAACCTCAGAAAATATGAACAACATATTTAAGCTGAACTTTGACGTATATAAGTGTTACACTCAACAGAGAATTCATGTCCTTCTGATTCACATGTAGAATGTTTACATAAATTAACCACGTGTTAAGTTTTTGTCACTGTGACCAAAACAGCAGATAAGACCAACTTAGAGGAGGAAAAGTTTATTTGGAGCTCATAATGTCAGAGATTCAGTTCATGATTCACTGGCTCCATCACTTTGTGCCTAAGATGATGGCTGAACATCATGGCAGAAGAATATGGCAGAGGGAAGGTGCTCCACTGCGGGAGAGCCAAGAGGCAGAACAGGAGGAGCCAGGGACAAAATACAGAATTCCTAAGGCAAACCCCCAGTAACCCACTAACTTCAGTCATGCCCTATCTATAGTTATCACCCAATAGTTCATTCAAATTATTAATCCATCAAATGGATCAATTCCCTAATTAAGTTTCAGTTAGGAGCCTTTGGAGACACCTCATATGCAAACCATAGTGCCACATTTAAATTCAGATAGTAAAATTCTAACAAATTTCAAATGATGTTAAGTAGGCCACATTCGCTGACCACCATGCAGTTAAGTTAGAAGTCATTAAATGAGGGAGGAAGAAAAAAAAATGGAAACTTGAAAGTATGCCTTGAAAATAACTCATTGGTTTAAAAAAAATGAGAGCTAGGCATGGTGGCACATGCCTATAATATTAGCTGTCCTGGGAGCTGAGGCAGGAGGATAGCAAGTTCAAGGCAAGCATGGGCTGTAGATGTAACTCTGTGGTAGTGTACTTACCTATTATATGCAAGGTCCTGGGTTCATTTCCAGTACTGTCCAAAAAAAAAAAAAAAAAAAATCATGATAAGAATCCCAAAATAACTAGAACCATTTAATAATGACATAACTAGCAAAACTTTAGAAGTATCTGATGCAAAAAAAGAGGGAAATTTAGAGTTTTAAATGCTTATGTTATAGGAGAAAAATAAAGAATGAAAATTAAGAAACTAAAGTAGGAATAAATAATAAAGATGAGGGCTGGGGATGTGGCTCAAGCAGTAGTGCGCTAGCCCGGCATGCGTACCGCCCGGGTTCGATCCTCAGCACCACATACAAACAAAGTTGTTGTGTCCACCGAGAACTGAAAAATAAATATTAAAAAAAAAATTCTCTCTCTCTAAAAAATAATAATAATAAAGATGAAAGTATATAATTAATGGAAGAATAGAAGGCATACAATGGAAGTGCCACACAAAGCCAGAAGTCGATTTTTTTAAAAAAAGACCAGGAGATGTGGTTGTGGCTCAGTGGTAGCACACTTGGCTGGCATGTGTGAGGCCCTGAATTCGATCCTCAGCACTGCATATAAATAAATGAGTAATAAAGGTTCATTGACAACCAAAAATTGGAAAAAAAAAAAACCTGTCTAACTTCTTATAAATTGGAGGGAGAAAAAAACTATGGAAACTGAAGAGATTATAGAATTAACAATTCTGAGCAATTTTGTCCCCAAAATTTTGAAGATTTGGGTCAACATAGATAACTTTCTAAGAAAATACAAATTAGCAAAATTGCCTCAATGAAAAATAGAAGCCAAACATGGTGGCACACATCTGTAATCCCAACAATTTGGGAGGCTGAGGCAGGAAGATTGTAAATTCAAAGCCAACATTAGCAACTTAGCAAGGCCCTAAGCAACTCAACAAAGACTCTATCTTGAAATTAAAAATAGGGGCTGGGGATGTGGCTCAAGCGGTAGCGCGCTCGCCTGGCATGCGTGTGGCCCGGGTTCGATCCTCAGCACCACATACCAACAAAGATGTTGTGTCCGCCGAGAACTAAAAATAAATATTAAAAAATTAAAAAAAAATTAAAAATAAAAAGGGATGGGGATGTACCTCAGTGGCTGAGTACCCCTGGGTTCAATCCCTAGTACCAAAAAACTACAAGAAAGAAAGAAAAATAGAAAACTTATTTTGTCCTTGAGCCATTCAAAAGTGAAACAGTAGGAGGAAAGATAAATGGACAGACAGACCCAGACAAGCAAAGATAGGACAGGAAAGGAAATTACAAGCCATTCTTATTCTTGAAGAAATATTCAGTGATCTTGAACAAAATGTTTAAGCAAATTTGTGAAAAAGGTAATAAACATGATTAAGTTGAATTTATTTCAAGAATGTAAGATTGAGTGCAACATTGCAAATCTTTTCATATAATTCACCATACTAACAAATTAAGGCAAAATAATGGCTCCCAAAAAATTGACTTCCTGGCCTGGGGATGTGGCTCAAATGGTAGCGTGTTCACCTAGCATGTGTGAGGCACTGGGTTCAATTCTCAGCACCACATAAAAATAAAATAAAGATATGTGTCCACCTAAAACTAAAAAAAAAAATATTAAAAAAATTGATTTCCTGGTGCTGGGATTGTGACTCAGTAGTAGAGCGCTTGCCTAGTATGTGTGAGGCACTGGGTTTGATCCTCAGCACCACGTAAAAAATAAGTAAATAGAATAAAGTCACTATGTCCAAATACAAAAAAAAATATTTAGAAAAAAAATTGACTTCATATTTCTTGGAACCTGTGATTATGTGTCAAAAAAAATGGATATGGGATGGAGACATTGTCCTGGATTATCAGGGTGGACCCAATCTAATCACTAATCCTCTGCCTTCCTCTTCCAAATCACTAATTCTCTGCCTTCCTCTTCCAATAAAATTGGAAGAGGAAGGCAGAGGATTAGTCTGAGAGACAAGTATGACAAGGACTTAACCTGCCTGTTCCTGACAGAAAATGGAAGGAGGAGATTCTGAGCCAAGGAATGTGGCAGCCTCTTCAAGATGAGAATGACACTGTTTATAACCAGCACAAAAAGGAGGACTGCAAACCGGGCGCCATGGCATACACTGTAATTCCAGTGACTTAGGAAGCTGAAGTAGGAAGAGTGCAAGTTTGAGGCCTGCCTTAGCAACTTAGCAAGACCCCATTTCAAAATAAATAAAAAAGGCTGTGGAGGTATTTCATTGATAGCACACCCCTGGGTTCAATCTCCAGTATATATGTATGTATGTATGTATAAATATTCTTAATTTTAAGAAAAGAGAAAAAAAAAACCTCAACAAATCTTACCTTGCCAGGCACAGTGGCTAACACTGTAATCTCAGTGGCTAGGGAGGCTGAGGCAGGAGGATCTTGAGTTCAAGATCAGCCTCAGCAAAAGTGAGAAGCTAAAATAGGGTTGGGGATATAGCTCAGTGGTCAAGTACTTCTGAGTAGTTCAATCCCCGTTACCAAAAATATATTTATTAGGGCTGGAGATATAACTCAGTTGGTAAAATGCTTATCTCACATACACAAGGTCCTGGTTTCAATCCTCAGAATTAAAAAAAAAAAAAAAGTGTATCTACCACAAACCTAGAACACACACACCATGGTGAAATAAAATATTTCCTTCAAAATTGAAACATACTTATTATCACCATTTCTATTCAACATTATACTTAAGTATTAGCCAGGAAAATAAAAGAAAGAAAGAAAGAAAGAAAACCCATAAAAAATGAAAAGGGCATTGTTATTTTTTACAGGTAATATAATTCTGTACTTAGAAAACCCAAAATAATTTACAGGATAATATTTAGAATTAATGACGAGTCATCACATTTGCCAGGTAGCAAAGTGCATTTCCTTAGTCCAAGAGTAAGAAATTAGAAGGTACAGGTAAATAAAGTGTGCTATTTATAAAAGCAACCAAAATAGTGGAGCTGAAACTATTGCTTATCTGGAGAAAAAGTATAAATGAACCCTTCCTGTTATACCCACAAATCAATTCTAGATGAATTAAAAGGCAAAACTCGAAAGGATTAGAACAAAATGTAGAATAATATACTCTTTAGGGTATGCTCTGGTGATAAGGGGAAAAAAATCTTAAAACTCAAAATACAAATCAAAGAAAGCAAAATTAAGTTCCGTTGAAACTTTGGTCATCAAAACACAGGAAAAGCCTGACATGATAGTACAAGCCTGAAATCCCTGCAATTTGGGAAGCTGAGGCAGGAGAATTGCAAGTTCAAGGTCAGCCTCAGCAATTTAACAAAGTCCTAAGCAACTTAGTGAGACCCTATCTCAAAATTAGAAAATAAAAGGAGCCGGGGATGTAGCTTGGTGATAAAGTGCCCCTGGGTTCAATTCCCAGTACCAAAATAAGAAGCAGCCAAGCATGGTGACACTTGCCTGTAATCTGAGCAGCTTGGGAAGCTGAAGCAGGAGGATCTCAAATTCAAGGCCCACCTGGGCAACTTAGTGAGACCCTGTCTCAAAATAAAATGAAAATGACTGGGATGTAACTCAGTAGCAAAGTGCCCCAGGTATTCAACTCTCAGTACAAAACACACACAGAAAGTAAAAAGAAATATCAAACTAAAATGAAAGCTCTGCAACACACATAATGAGTCTTTTTTTTTTTAAGTTTCTAGAACCATACTATACAGAGTACTTTGAAATGCAACTTGGCCAAATGAAGAGTGTGGTAAGTATAAAATACCAGATTTCAAAGAGTTAGTACAAAAATAAAATTTGGTGGCAGGGGGAGTACTGGAGTACATACCCAATCCTTTTTATTTTTTATTTTGAGACAGGGTCTTACTAAATTGCTAAGATTCTCACTAAGTTACTGAGGCTGGATTCTCCTGCCTTAGCTGCCCTGCTTGCTGGAATAGTTTTTCAGAAAATTCTTTTCTCTTTTTTTTTTTTTTGAGAGAGAGAATTTTAATATTTATTTTTTAGTTTTCAGCGGACACAACATCTTTGTATGTGGTGCTGAGGATCGAACCCCGGCCGCATGCATGCCAGGCAGCGCGCTACCACTTGAGCCACATCCCCAGCCCAATTTTTTTTCTCTTATAGAGGAAAAGGAAACACCCAGAAGGCTTCAGAGACAGATACTAAGTCCTATTTCTTAAATGAGGCGGTAAGTAGATAGGTTTTTGTTTTGTTGTTCTTTCTACCTGTTTCTAATTCTATATTCTATTTCTGAAGTTCTGTGCCACAGAAATAAAAGCACTTTCACGTGGTCTAAAAGTACAAAAGTATTAATTGTATCATTTGTAGTGGAAGAAATAAAATGAATATTCATAAATAAGGTAATGGTGAATACTTCCATATCAAGAGTTATTGTGTGGGCTGGAGTTGTAGCTCAGTGGAAGAGCACTTGCCTAGCATGTGTGAGGCACTGGGTTCTTTTCTCAGCACCACATACAAATAAATATCATAAAGGACCATCAACATCTAAAAAATATTTTTTTAAAAAAGAGTTATTGTGCTATCATTAAAAAGAATGAATTCTGCTGGGCAGAGTTGCACATGCCTGTAATCCCAGTGGCTCAGGAGGCTGAGCCAGGAGGATCTCGAGTTCAAAGCCAGCCTCAGCAAAAAGCAAGGCATTAGGCAACTCAGTGAGACCAAAGGGCTGAAGGCGTGGCTCCATGCTCAAGAGCCCCTCCTGAGTTCAATCCCTGGTACCAAAAAAAAAAAAAGAAAGAAAAGAATTCTTACTATTCTAGATATTCTAGAGACATTTCCAAGAGGTTTGGAGTTTTGTCAAATGAAAAGAGCCAAGATGCTTAAACATAAATACAAATGTACATATATACACAAATATACATGCATATATTTATCTAATTTTATTTATATGGAGCAAGATATGAGTTGATATATTTCATTTAACTGAGTTATCTTGATTTGGAAGTTGAAAAAAATAAAAAAGAAAAGAAAAATTATTACCACTACACCCCAGTAAATGTATCGTGATCCCTTATTATGTAAAACTACAGATATTAGTGTGTATTTAGATATCTATTAAGAGATGAGTGTGAAAATAGAGTTGGGTCTACTTATTGATACAGATTAATTACAATCTAATCTTCAATTCTATGGATTCACTTGAAAAAAGTCCCAGAGTGGGGCTGGAGTTGTAGCTCAGTGGTAGGGCACTTACCTAGCATGTGTGAGGCACTAGGTTCAATTCTCAGCACCACATATAAATAAATGATAAGATAAAGGTCCATCAATATCTAAAAAACAAAATTTAAAAATAAAGTACTAGAGTAACTGGAACTTTGTTAAACTAAAAACCACATGTATGCATATTAAGGCAATTACGGTGTAAGTAAATCTTACAGTGAGAAAGATGCCAAAGATATACATTAATTGTCATTGTGTCTGATGATCTGTGTATGAGGAATGAAAGAAAGAAAGCAATTAGAGATGAATCCTACGGGTTTGGCCTGAACAACGAGGTGGATTTTTTGAGGCTTAAGGAGACAAAGGGGGACATGGGTTAATATTTTTTTGAACTCATAGGTTAGAGAATGTTCCAAACACTCAAAAGGAAATAAGTTTATTTATACCAGTTAGTGAATAATTCAAAATACAGTGAGCCAGGTGCAGTTGGTACATACCTGTAAGCCCAGCCACTTGGGAGGCTGAGGCAGGAGGATTGCAAATTCAAAGCCAGGCTCAGCAACTTGGTTCTCAATATATATTTTAAAAACAAGGGGTGGAGCTAGGGTTGTGGCTCAGTGGTAGAGTGCTAGCCTAATATGCATAAGGCTCTGGGTTCAATCCTCAGCACCACTTAAAAAGAAAAGATATTGTGCCCCCCTTAAACTAAAAGATAAATATTTTTTAAAAAGTGGGATCTGGGGATATGGCTCACTGGTTAAGCACCCCTGTGTTCAATCCCTGGAACCAAAAAAATAAAATACAAGTCAGGACTTGGAGGCATATTCATGGCGACATATCGATTTTGGAGTCCTGAATACACAGTTGGTATTTAAAGCTATAGGATGCAGACACATGTATGTAATCCCAGTAATTTGGGAGGCTGAGGCAGGAGGATTGTGCAACTTAGTGAGGCCCTAAGCAACTTAGAACCTGTCCCAAAAAATAAAAAGGGCTGGGGCTGGGATTGTGGCTAGCAGTACAGCGCTCAGCTAGCATGTACAAGGCCCTGGGTTCAATCCTCAGCACCAAATAAAAATAAATAAATAAAATAAAGGTATTGTGACAACTACAACTAAAAAATAAATATTAAAAAAATGTTTAAATAAAAAGGGTTGAGGATGTGACTCAGTGCCCCTAGGTTTAATTCCCAGTACAAAAAAAAAAAAAAAAAGGAAAAGGAAATGTATAGGACTGTGTGAAATCTCCTAAAGGGAAAGTGTAATTAGAGAAGAAAAAGGGAAGGCAAAAGGACAGGGTCCAGGAAAGATTGGTCATTTGGGGACACCAGTGTTTAAAGGTTATAAAGAATGATAAGCCAGCAAAAGGACAAAGGTGATGTTAAAAACAAATAGGAAAGTGTGTTCTTTTAGGCCTTGAGAACAAGCTTTTAAATGAAAGAACAAATTCAGAAGCAATATGATGACAGCTACTTCACAGATTTATCATTGTATTATTTATTGTTATGGTAAAATAGTGCCTTAAAACAAAAACAGTCATTCAATGTGCTCACATTTTCATTCTGTGAAGGTGTGTCTCTGCTCCACATGGCATCAGCTGGGGACATGCTATTAAAGGCTAAGAGATCTGTTACCATGGTGGCACATTCATGTTGCTGGCAAGTTGTTGCAGGCTAATGGCTGGCAAGGGTGAGAACCAGGGTCTTTGGTTCCTCTTATTTGGCCTCTCCATGTGGCCTGGGCTTTTTCATTGCATATGGCTTGTTCTAACAATGAACCTCCCAAGAAAGAGAGCCATGTGGAAACTATATTGCCTTTTATGACCTAGTGTTGGAAGTCTCATAGCTTTTACTCACACTGTTTTGGTTGAAACAATCACATGATGATCCAAGTTCAGAGATATGAACATGAACTACACGTCCTAATGGAGAGTGGCAGGGTTCTGGAAAAGTACTTGGAATAGGAAATGTTGCTATTTGGGGAAAATATCTACACAATTCTATTCAGAGATGATAACCACAATGAGCTGTCTAGAGATATCTGCACACAAATTTATTCACAATATATTAGAAATTTTGCAAAAAAATACATGATCATAGGCTGGGGTTGTGGCTCAGTGGTAGAACACTTGCATGTGTGAGGCACTGGGCTCAATCCTCAGCATCACATAAATAAATAAATTAAGGTATTGTATCCATCTACAACTAAAAATTTTTTTAAAAAGTATGATCATGATTTCATGCAGTACCTCAAAGAGTTCCATAAGTATATATTTCATAATTTAGGGGAATAGTTGGGCATGGTGGCACACTCCTATAATCCCAATGGCTTGGGAGACTGAAGCAGGAACATCTCAAGTTCAAAGCCAGCCTCAGCAATTTAGTGAGGCCATAAGCAACTTAGTGAGACCCTGTCTCAAAATAAAATATAAAAAGGACTAGAGATGTGGCTCAACGGTTAAGCATCCCTGGGTTCAATCCCCAGTACCAAAAAATAATAATGGGGTAAAACCTGTATTATGAATTAGTCATAGATTAAGCAGATCATTATTTAATATTAAGTGATTGTAATCCTGAGTAGCTGGGATTAAAGATGTGTACCACCATGCCTGACAGAAATTTTCTTTAATATTAAAATGTTTATCTGAAAATTACAGCAAGGGGCTGGGGATGTGGCTCAAGCGGTAGTGCGCTCGCCTGGCATGCGTGCGG